TTAAAGTTTCAGAATATCCCTATTTATACTGTTGAGTGTACGTAATCTTCCAGCAGTTCATGTGTTATTTATAGATCGTTTATATACGCTTCAGAGGTACTTCGGTCTAATTTTATAAAGAATTACTGTATACTCTCATGTCGAATGTCCAACTGATCAATGAATAATTTAATACTAAAATCATACTATTAAAATCAGAAAACAGATTTATATAGCCAATGGACTAAATGTAGTTTAATTGAAGATTTCTGCCATGTGTATAGCAATCCAAGCAGCACGATTTACCCCGAATGATAGGTGCATTTCCATTTGTGAATTATTAACAAAAAAATAAATAAAATAAAATAAAAACAGGCACACAAACAAACAAAAAATACTTTTACATTAATTTAGAGTATATACATACATTGTTTCTCCGGAACAAATCATAAGTTGAGATGTTACTCTAATGAAAGGACTAGATACAATCGGCTCTGCAAATAGACAAAGCTTCATTTTCATTGTTCTTAAGATATGTCTGATTTCCAGGCAGAAAATATTGTTTTGTTCTTCGTGAATTACGGATAATGAATCTGGTACCTTTAAACTGACCTACAATATCATATATGTGTATATAATAAATATAACCAGGCCGTTCTTTATACCCAAGATTTTTCATAATAGAAATATTAACATTCTAAAAGATTTCTCGAATATCTGACGTTGTCTTGGTGCAGTTTATAAATTCTGTACTCCTTCAAGATATTTCTTCAAACATAGTTCAAATGTTCACTAAAAGGCACATTATGCTTCAGAAACGGATTGTTTTTCATTTCTTTCAAAATGACAAAAATAAATTATATATCTATGTCCCTGTTTACAAGTACATGTATAACAATGTGACATTTTAAGCAACATGTGAACATTTCGTATAAAAGACAATATTATAAATATTATAATTAACAAAAGTCAATATTATAAATATTATAATTAACAAAAGTCAATATTATAAATATTATAATCAACACTTGTTTTAGTCTAGCTCAAAACTTGCATGGGGTTTTTAACATGTCATGATCTGTCTATTTGTCTTTATCTTGTTCTTTCTTTATAATCACTGATTGTTTTCAATAAATTACAATGATATAATTCATTGAATAGGTGTTGTATTGTTAAACATATAAACTATTGGCACTACATGCATATACATCTGCCGGCTGTAAAAATGTTATCTGATTGTATTTCGGCCCAGCGGAATATATTGCAAACTATATCAATATCGGTATATAATCTAATAACGTTTTAAAAGGACAATCAAATAACATGCAAGAGGTGGAGAGTCTAATTATCCGGCATATATTATTTTGATCTAATCAAGTCACATTTCCACGCAAAAACCTTACGTTCTCGGTGTAATTTTTTTAAAAAAAAAACATTAAAGATTTAATTGCTCAAGACTTTAAATTGTAGCAGATTTTTCACATAAGACTTTTAAAAAATATACCTAAGAAAACAATATCGACCATTGGCCACTATTCATTATTCAAAAGTTATCGAAAGTCACCGAAATGACAAAATAGCTTACCGATAACGCAAAGCCCTCTCCAGTCTTCCTATTATAGTCGAAATATCCACCTCATGGCTTCATTCTCGAACGATTCAAATGTATGGTCGAGATCTGGACCATAAACAGCGTATATGGCGGGAAGCATTTCACGTTGTATTTCTTTTTGCAGAAGATACTGTCGCACAAAACCGTCTTGGTTACTTAAGATGCGATATTCGATTTCCTGTACCAGATGATCAAGGAATACATAAAGTAATGTGAGTTTAAAAAAAACTGACAATGTGTGAACAACTGACTTGGTCCGATAATTTTGCCTAGCAGCTCTTGTTAACCTAATATTTCGCTGAGATATTTGAAGCTTTATCATAGAGAGCATCCTGTATATGTATCAGTCGTTCCGCTCATTGTGTAATAGCTGTTTAATAACTTTGGTTTCTTCTTTCTTCTTTCATGAAGAAGTTCATCATCTTCTTTTTGCAATACATGTTAGTAAGGGCGACAGTTGAGCTTAGCATGAGCTCTGCAACTATTAAAGAAATTATAGTCAACCTCTCCGTCTTCTTGAAGTGTTTCAATGGCGTGAAAAAGTGTCCTTGAATCTGCTAAGGCATCTGAACGACTTGACAAAAGCTTCGCAGTTTGGTTCTCTGTTCCATTCCTGCTTTCGTAGTGGCATCTTGAGAGATTTCTTTACAGAAGGCATTAAGACGTCCAGTCGAATAGTCGAACACAAAACTGACGAATCATTGTTCGCACACACGGAATGTTTTAAGTGTGTACCAACGCAAGATTTAAGCAGTTGTCTTTGGAAGACACGTTTATATAATTTTCTAAGTGGCGATCTTTCGGGCACATCGATATTTGTCTTACATATTTGATGCTCCATCATAACATTGCGCGAGGTCAGTTCCGTTCAACGATATTTTCAGCGCAAATGTCCACATCAGTTCATTCAAGATAATATGTCTGTTATTATTTACTGTGGTTCTAGAAGACAACAATTTCGTATTTGTGGACTCACATTTTCCAGAATGGATATCCCATGGTCTCAACCCATAAAAAAGCATTTACATGACATATTTTGTTTTAACGAAGGAAGGTTCTTCCAGAGCTCGTGTCATACGTAAAGTCTTTTCACGGCCATCGTTCCCTTCATAAAGCAATGTACAGTCTACAGTTCACTGCATCTTTAGACTTTAAATACCGCTACCATTTCTTCTTCAATAACAATTTGCCGTTCACTTTACATGTATAGTGTTTTACTAAGCCAGAATACAATCATAGTGTTAAGACATTTTGCAACAAGAGCCGGTTGAACCGGGTGATGCTCCCCGAATAGGTTTTGGACACAGGAAGGTATACCTCTTGTTGTGTCAGAGTTATGCCACAGACAAAGTTCAAAGTGTAAAAACAACCCAAATATTGTGCACAACACATTGTCTCAATATGGTGATCATTTTTGTGAAATAGTTGTAAAATCCGACTTCAAATAACGAAGTAATGCGCCGGACATGATTTTGCTGCAAGGTCATGCTGTGACCTTGACCTTCAAGGTAGGTACCCAAATGTTGCATGCGGCACGTTGATTCAATATGGTGATCATCTCTGTGAAATAGTTGAAGTAACAAAGTTATGGGTCGGACACGATTTTGCTGCAAGGTCATGCCGTGACCTTGACCTTCAAGGTAGCGACCCAAATGTTGCGGGCGACACAATGTCTCATTGTGGTGATCATTTCTGTGAAATAGTTGTAAAATCCGACTTCAAACAATGAAGTTATGTGCCGGACACAATTTTGCTGCAAGGTCATGGTGTGACCTTGACCTTCAAGGTAGCGAGCCAAATGTTGCGTGCGACACACCATTTTTATATGGTGATCATTTCTGTGAAATAGTTTAAAAATCTGACTTCAAATAAGGAACTTATGGGCCGTACACAATTTTGCTGCAAGGTCATGCTGTGAACTTCAAGGCAGCGTCCCAAATGTTGTGCGTGACACGTCATCTTAATATGTTGATCATTTCTGTGAAATACTTTTTGAATCCAACTTAAAATAGCAAAGTTATGGGCCGGACAAGATTTTGCTGCAAGGTCATGCTGTGACCTTGACCTTCAAGGAAGGGACCCAGATGTTGCGCGCGACACATTGTCTCAATATGGTGATCATTTCTGTGAAATATTTTTAAAATCCGACTTCAAATAACAAAGTTATGGACCGGACACTATTTTGCTGCAAGGTCATGCTGTGACTTTAACCTTCAAGGTAGCGACCCAAATGTTGCGCGCAACACGTCGTCTCAATATGGTGATCATTTCTGTGAAAAAGTTTTAAAATCCGACTTCAAATAATAAAGTAATGGGCCGGACACGATTTTGCTGCAAGGTCATGCTGTGACCTTGACCTTCAAGGTAGCGACCCAAATGTTGCGCGCGACACATCGTCTCAATATGGTGATCATTTCTGTGAAATATTTTTAAAATCCGACTTTAAATAACAAAGTTATGGACCGGACACGATTTTGCTGCAAGGTCATGCTCTGTCCTTGACCTTCAAGGTAGCGACCCAAGTGTTGCACGCGACATGTCTTCTCAATATGGTGATCATTTCTTTGAAAAAGTTTTAAAATCCGACTTCAAATAATAAAGTAATGGGCCGGACACGATTTTGCTGCAAGGTCATGCTGTGTCCTTGACCTTCAAGGTAGCGACCCAAATGTTGCGCGCGACACATCGTCTCAATATGGTGATCATTTCTGTGAAATATTTTTAAAATCCGACTTTAAATAACAAAGTTATGGACCGGACACGATTTTGCTGCAAGGTCCTGCTGTGACCTTGACCTTCAAGGTAGCGACCCAAGTGTTGCACGCGACATGTCTTCTCAATATGGTGATCATTTCTTTGAAAAAGTTTTAAAATCCGACTTCAAATAATAAAGTAATGGGCCGGACACAATTTTGCTGCAAGGTCATGCTGTGACCTTGACCTTCAAGGTAGCGAACCAAATGTTGCGCACGACACGTCGTCTCAATATGGTGATCATTTGTCTGAAATAGTTTTAAAATCCGACTTCAAATAACAAAGTTATGGGCCGGACACGAATTCGGGACGTAGGTATGGACGGACAACCCGACGACTATATGCTCCCCCGAAATTTTTCGGGGAGCATAATAAAAGTATGTAGCAAATTGCACCCGTACTGTGTAACAAGAGTTCATTCAGAGTGCAGCCAGATTGCCATATGCAAATACAGCATTCAGCCAAATGAGAACTAACGGTGTTAGGTTAAGCTACTGAATTATTAATATCAATAATTAGTAGAAATCTTTAAGTGCTTTTACGCCATTTTTATGCAATTTATTTTTCAATTGAACAAATTAAAGAAAATTGATAAAACAATAATGACCATTGTTTTTCATAAAAAGTATAAAAAAAAAGAGAAAAAAAGTCAAAACATTTGAAGACATCTTTTTATTCATCACAAAATGTGAAAATAGTTTTACATAAAAAACAAATATTAAACAGATTATAATTGCATGTTTATCATGGAATAAAATTCTACTTGTTATACTTGTAGATAGGAAATATATATATTAAATATCTCCAGATCATTATAAATAAATATTATCACAAAATGTAGTTGGACGGAATGGAATAAAGTTTTGGTATTTCAAAACGACAATACCTAAAATAACAATCGAACAGCATTTGACTTTAATATTCATTATATAAATTACAAAAAATTGAGACATCAAAAATTTATTTTTTTATAAGTTCTTGAAAATCACATCTTGAAACAGAGGACCTGTAGATATTTGTTTCCCCTTTGACAGGTTCTAAAATAGATTAAGTTATCTCACCATTTACATATCTTTTACCTCTATTTCATTTGGACTTAATATATCATTTTAAGTCCGAGATTTCAGGGAAGAGCTTGATTATGAAATTTTCAGCATATCAAATAGTAACAACTTTTGTGTAAATTTATTTATATATTTGTATCTGAATAGTACAGTGCTTATTTCAACATGTGCATACCATGAGAAAACTAATAAAGGATGTTTATGCAGCCACACTGGAAATTGCAACTGTGAAACAGAACTTCAAATATTAAGCTACGTGTCATATCCAGAAATTAATTGCTCTAGAGCTTTATTATTAAGTTCAAATAAATGCCTTTGTTTATAGACACCCAACACCCCTCTCCCCTGAAAAATCAGCAGTACACCATATATTTAGGTAGCAGTCTTGGAAAAAATTATTGTATCAGCTAAAATTTTGACATATTGAATACTGATATTTTCAAAGAGTAACATCAAAATAGTGGAATGTAAATTCAGTAATTACTTTAAAAAAACAGCAACAATGTAAAACACAACAATAAGTATGTATGTTCATGTTTTTTAAATAGTAAATCTTTCCAGAATATAAACATAAGTATTTTCAAAACATACTTTAATTAATACGTTATCACAGACACTAACATATATTTTTCACTTCATTTAAATTTATCACACGGGATGTTTACACTAAACTATAATACTTCATGATAATATATCATAAATGACACTTCACATTATGACTACTCATTATAAATTTTAATAATGGTCACATTCTTCTTCATGGAATAATATATAGATGAAAATATCACAGCAAAATTCATCAACATTGTCTTCAATAAAATTGAACAAAGCATGAAAAATATTCAGGGACTTTTCTCCAAACATACAATATGTACAAAAGTTATTTTTTTTAAAAATCACAACGTAAAAAGTGAATCTTTAGTCAAGAAGATGTTCCTTGCTTCAATTATATTCTTTCTAGTAAAGAGAATAGCATCATTTTCCAATTTTCTCATCTGTTGCTTAAATCAGCACACATATTTCAACCAACATTTCTTTTTAATTCTTTGGGTAACTTTCAATTAGGCACACTTTTCACACTTGACAAATATCTGTCAATGAATTATTCACATTCAGGTAAAATAAAAAATTATAAAATATAACATGTATAAATAAATCATAATGTACAGAAATATTCATATAATACCAATCTGCATACATATTATATAGTTTGTTTCAATTTTCATGTAAACCTGTTGCACATAACACCATAAAATATAGTTCATTTCAATTTTCAGACATTATTCTTCACAGCACCAAGTTGTTTTTAACAATTGTTCTATTTTATCAGTAAATTAAGCTGATCTTAAAATATTTATTTATTAACGGTAAACTTAGCTAAACTCTTAACTGGTTGCCATTGGAATAATAAAATAAATGTTTATTTTTTTTTGCAAGTGCTATTCTTAAAATGTGATAAAATTCAGTCCATTTTTGTTTATTCATTGAGTTGACAGAGTAAAGCCGCTCCCTTTGCTATCCAATAGTCCTGTGGTAGATCTGACGGTAGATAAACAGCTACGACGTAATTTGTGGAGTGACCTGTTGAGAGACATAAAAAAAATATGTTAAAAAAAAGAACTTTTCATCTCCCTTGTGCAATAAGTGATTAACTGCTATTAAATTTAGGACTTGTTTTGTAATTGCACTAAGGTGACGATTTATAAATTCACAATCTTTAATGAACTTCAATTATATTTTTATATTTGAAACACTTCATCATAATCTTAAGGAGTCTTAGATTTCATGTTATGTTATGATAAATGTGTCAATTAAACAAATGAACATAAGAAAATATAAAGAAAATTTACTTGACTACCCCCAAAATTAAGAAAATATGGGTTTTTCCCAGCTAATCCATGGGGGCAAACAATTATTTACAGTTACAGCTTCGAAAATAAGTGCAACATGTTGACCAATCTATTGTGATGGGTAGTGCACCGTGAAGCTATAATGGTACCTACGGATTAGCTGGGAAAAAACCCCTTTTGCCAAGTTCCAAATAACATTTTTTCATAAAGGTAAGAAAATATATGTACCCACTTATGTGCATCACCCACAAAAAATATGTTTAAATTTCTAAAAATAGAAGTTATGTAATGTACCTGTCGTAGATAATGTACCAGCACGAGCAGATGTTTTGTATAACGGTGCCATATAGTCGGCTGAATCAGGTTCAATATCCATATCCGGTTCCATATGCAACATTGGAAGCTCTGCACTCATCTCTCCCGGTAAAGCATCAATTATCTTCATTGTCTCCATGTCCCATGCACTGGCATCCATAAATAAACCATGGACAAGTACACCATCTTCGGGCACATTCAACTGGAAAAAAAAATGTTCATCTCCTTATTTATGGTATACTTAGTAAATAAATAGATAACTAGAAGAGTGTGCATAGGCCATGGAATCCCTGACATTCCACTGTTTTGTCAGTTTGCAGGATTGAGAGAGTGACATCTGACAGATGGACTTACAAGGGCTATTTTTTTTTTTTGATTTGGGTTTTACATCACACCGACACAGTATACTCTTGGTCATTTGGCGCCGTTCCAGCTTTACTGGTGGAGGAAGACCTCAGATGCCCCTCTGTGTATATTATCAGGTACGAACAGGCACCTGAGTAGAACCACCGACGTTCTGTTAGTTAGCTGGATAGCTTCCTCACATGAAAGAATCCAAACGCCCTCTTGGGGAAGGGCAATCTATATGCACTTAATACTATAAAACACCATTCTATGACAAAAATCCATTTTTAAGATAATTATAATCAAATGAAATGAAAAAAGAAATTAATTACTTAACAAATAAATTTGCAACAAATCAAAGAAAGATAGCAAACATTGGAAATGGTCTAACAAAGAAGTACAGAGTAGCTTCAGTTATAGACTGAAATACAGATGGTGTTAACAATGTAAAGGAGGTAACTCAGTTTTAACTTATAAATCTTTGTGCCCCAATCTGTATTGCAAATGACATACAATGTCTAATGGATGCAACTTCAATTATAATGTAAATTACAAATGTTGTAAATAATATAAATGTTTTTTCAGTTTTTGAACTGGAAAACATATAAAACTGAATTACAAATGGTACAAAAATACAAATGGAGGGAACTCAATCAGTAACAAAGTGTATTGCAAATGGTGTAAAAAAAAATATAAAGGGAAGTAAATCATGCTTTACATACCTCTTTATCCATTTCCATTTCTTCTCCAAATTTGAGGTCTGTCATTTGTTTGTACACTTCTTTCTGGTCACGAATCACTGGATATACATGATACTTGAAGCTTAGATGATCTATGGGCAGATTATACTTTCTAGCATAATTCTGTAGGGTGCCAGTTAAGAATCCTGTACAAAAGGGAAATAACTTGTGATTACTTGTATCCAAACACAAAATGAGGTACAGAAATAACAGAGTAAGTCCAAAAATAGCTGACATATCAAAGGCTCCAATAAAAAGTTGATAAAATAATATTGTCTTTCCACAATACTATTTTTTTCTATTTTAGAAGGTTTATAAAAGGCAAAATATAATAAAAAATTTCAGACACAATGGAATTAATGAGGCCAATAATTTGAGAAGGGTTTTCTATTAAAACTAGAGTATCACAGAGAATGTATTGTTCTGCAACTGAAATTTGTGTTTCTATTTTGTTTTTGCCCTTTCTTTATACATTTTTATCATTATCATGGTGGTAGATACACCTTAAACTACATGTAACTTTCCTGGATTACTAACCAGTAATTACCAATCCTTAACTCCCAAGTGTCTTACTACTAATATCTCATGATTTCTAAAACAGCCATGAGAGACAAATGACCATTCAGCTCAATGTTCAATACCAATTATCATGGTACAACTAATATCTCATGATTTCTAAAACAGCCATGAGAGACAAATGACCATTCAGCTCAATGTTCAATACCAATTATCATGGTACAACTAATACCTCATGATTTCTAAATCTGCGATGAGAGCCAAATGACCACTGGACTCAATGTTCAATACTGATTATCATGGAGAAATAACACCTTGTCTGAGTTTTGAACCAAAAACCCATGGACTACTAATCCTATGCTCTTGCTATTGAGATGAGCAGGCAGACGTGGAACTTTGGTAATAGTAAGTAAGTAAGTTAAGAATGGAATAAACATTTACTTAGCATTCTTATAAATGTAATGTCATATTGTGTACCTTTTTGCAACCACAACCAGTAAAATGTTTTCAAGGGGTCACTTGTAATATACAAACATGCCTCTGAAATAAAATGATACCTTGTGGGAAGAAAAATCCAGACAACCAGAAAGACTTTGGAATTCCGTGCTGAATCCAATTATCAATAAAAGCACAACGGTACACAAGATCTTGTACCCAGCTTCCGAGTGGTTTCAGGGATGGGTACGCTGCGTTAGCCCACATTGTCGGGACGTGGCTGTTGATGAAACTGTTGTATACAGCGTCTAATTGTTCGCTCATCACCACATAACCCTTAATGGCCTTCTGTAGGTTCTCCAGAGAGTTCTGAATATAATAGAAAAGCAAACAAACATTTTATAAATTTCCATCGCTTTTATGACATGCACAGACTCCAGTAATTCGAACACAATTAGTTGCCTCTTACGATCATGCAGGATCATGCAGAGATGAACGGTGGCTGCCTTAACCCTGAAAGGCAACCCCTCAGTCACAAGGTAAAAAGATATAACTGATCTTGTTTCCAAACAAAGCATATGTTCAATTCATCTATAAATGTTTAAAAAAAAAACTTAGCATAAGCTGGCACCTGAGTACAACCAATGACCTTCTGTAAGCTAGCTGGTTATACAATGTATATAACTTTTTATGCGGCATCATATGCTTTTGGAAAATTGACTAGAAATAATCTGTCCTTCAAGACATAAAACTGACATTATTTCAATTTTGGTATTGAACAAAACAAACAAGTGTTCTACTGAATATGGACAGAAAAATACAGTCTCATAACTATCAAGACAGAAATCTTATACATGTAGATAAATAGGTTTCAACATACCTTGATAACTTTGAGCAGTTTATTGAATCTTTCCACCTCCTGTGTGAGCACGGTGGTGAGTGAATTAAGACGACCTTTCTCGTCAGGTTCAAACATCTCACTGTTGGCTAACTCTATATCTAGTTTGTCCATAAGTTTACCAAGAATTGTCTCTGCTAGTTCATACACTATCTCGTCATTAGATTTACCAGTTCCTCCACTAGACATTCGAGGTTGTACATCAACAATGGTATTGACAAGGTTCTGTGTCTCTTGTGTCTGTAAAATGAAATATATTTAATATTTTTCATTTGTATAATCATTTTCAGGGCTACAGATAGCATTTTGTGTATATTGGGTGATTACCCCTTGTCTTGTGATCTATTGGTTTTTTTCTATTTTCTTAGAGTTATTTCTGTATTTTTTACCCTACCCTCTCTAATCAATTTGGGTTTTTAAGCAAATGTTCATGTATTTTACCCAAAATTTCTAACCTTCATTGTAGACTGTTGTAGGTTTTGTATGGTAATCAAAAAGCTTCTTACTACTTTGCTTTATGGAAAGTAATGACCAGGTGTGACAAAAAATAACATACCTGGGAAGCAATGGCCATGTATGACAAAAAATAACTTGTCTGCAAACCAATGACCAGGTGTGACAAAAAATAACTAACCTGGAAAGCAATGTTAGCATTCTCGTGCATGCCAAATATCTCTGGCTGATCAATAAGAGGTAGGCCATCTATATATTGTCTATATTCCTCAAGTGTAGTGGATTCTGGGGCATAGTATGTGCCTGTAAATATAATAAACAACACTTCATTAAAGCCAAGATATCATGTTTAATAAAAAGATTTTCTACACTATAAGAGGCTCTTGCAATGCACGGATTCTAAAACAATTTCATATATATTTCATGCTCATATGAAAGTTTTTTTTTAGGAGTTTGCAATACAAATAAGGCAATCAAACTACGGTACAATAATAACAAGGCTTGCAAACTTCCCATCCAGGAATTTATGACAAAATCTAAATAGCATCATGAAATCAGATAATTATGAAACCTGTAGGGTGTAGAAAAAAATTAAGAAAAAGAATAATGAACTTTACGTAATACTGACCAGAGACAGAATATTTGTAATCTGATGCCAGTGTATTTGGACTGAAGAAGATTTTCAGAATGGTTCCCAAACATCTTTGATCCTGGTAATCTGTGACACGACCACCATATGTGATCTATAAATAGACAAGAATATGACAAGTATATGACACGACCACCATATGTGATCTATAAATACACACATGTATATAGTGAACATTCTAAAAATGCAAATAAATAGCTTAAACTGTCATTTTATTTTATATATTTTCTAAGATCTATCGCCTTAAATGCCCCTTGTGCCTTTAGAGGGATATTTTAATAGTGTATTGAGGGTTGACTGAAAAGCTGCAAAAAACATATGAGCCGCGTCATGACAAAACCAACATAATGGGTTTGCGACCAGCATGGATCCAGACCAGCCTGCGCATCCACGCAGTCTGATCAGGATCCCTGCTGTTCGCTTAGAAACCCCCTTACAAATAGAGAATCTGATAGGGAACAGCATGGATCCTGATCAGACAGCGCAGATGCACAGGCTGGTCTGGATCAATGCTGGTCGCAAACCTATTATGTTGGTTTTGTCATGACACGGCTCATATTATATGAAATAAAGAACCAAAAACTTGTGTGTACAATTTCAGGTCTTTTCCTCACACTGTTATTACTGAATTATCAATTCTATTGTGCAAAATGACCCAAAAATGAAATTTTATGTGCTATACTTATCTATGTAATAATTTCAAATTTTATATTTTTAGGCCTTTCAACCTCAGTGGAGCACCTATAATGTCAATAATGAACCAAATTAAAAACTGCATGTAGACATTTTTTTTACCAAATGTATTCTAAAATTTGATTTTTCTTGAAATATTTTGGCTCATCTCGAGGCATGCAGCTTTAATTACGGTAATAAAACAAACTAAAAACTGCATGTAGATAATTATCTGATCACATGTATATTACCTGTCCAGTGATGTAAACAAGAGCATCCCATGGTATAATACCTTCCTGGCAAAATATCTGCAGGTTGAGAAGAGCGCATTCACGGTCACTGTCATTAAACTCATACTGTAATATATAAATATATATCTCTCTGTAATGAGTAAATATAGAATATATCTCACTGGCATAAAGTACAATATATAAATATAAATGATTAGGGGCGCTATCTCTCTGTAATAAGTAAATATAGAATATATCACACTGGCAAAAAGTACAATATATAAATATAAATGATTAGGGGGGTAATATGTCTCTGTTATGAGTCAATATAGAATATATCACACTGGCAAAAAGAACAATATATAAATATAAATGATTAGAGGGGCTATATCTCTCTGTAAGAAGTAAATATAGAATATATCACACTGGCAAAAGGCGCAATATATAAATATAAATGATTAGAGGGGCTATATCTCTCTGTAAGAAGTAAATATAGAATATATCACACTGGCAAAAGGCGCAATATATAAATATATATGATTAGAGGGGCTATATCTCTTTGTAATAAGTAAATATAGAATATATCTCACAGGCAAAAAGTACAATACATAAATATATATGATTAGGCAGGTAATATATCTCTGTAATGAGTCAATATAGAATATATCACACTGGCAAAAAGTACAATATATAAATATAAATGATTACGGGGTATATTCTCTGTCAAATGAGTAAATATATTATATATCTCACTGGCAAAAAGTCCATAATATAAATATATATGATTAGGGGGTAATATGTCTCTGTAATGAGTAATTATAGAATATATCACACAGTAAATATAGAATATTTCTCACTGGATAAAAGTACAAATATAAATATATATGATTAGGGGTTAATAACTCTCTGTAATGAGTAAATCTATAATATATCCCACTGGCAAAAAGTAGAATGTATACTTGTATACGTATGCCAAGGCATGAGAATATAAATTAACCTCTGTAGAACAATAACCTTTACACAACAACTATATTATTTTCCAAAACTAACAATTTAAAACTGAATTCAATCTCTCTAGAGAGTCCCCTCTCATCAACAACCCAAAAAAACTTTGTGCCCCCAAAGGCTGTTGCTATGCAGAGGG